GGCCTGTCTTGGAAGACAAGAGGATGTTGTTGGATGGCGGCCAGCACGTCAGCTCTCTGGTATCCCGGTAGACGCTGTAGCTTCTCCTGCAACTCCACGGAGTTGGACTGCCAAACCCTGACTGATGACAGGGCGAGTGGACTTGCCCCTTCTTTTTCCTCTTCTTTCTCACCGTCTACCAAGAAAGTGTCAACGGCACACACGGGAACTGGATCATCAGCAACAAATGGAGGTGCTGGGCGTGTGTGGTACAGCTTGATGGTGTTGACGTGACATAAGCGCTGTAGTCGGCGCCTGTCAGGGGTAGAGATAATATAATTCGTGGGGCTTACCTTCTTCACCACTCTATATGGCCCACTGAACTTCGCATGGAGCGGCTGTCCATGTCTCGGCAAGAGAACGAGAACTTGATCTCCTATCTGGAACTCTCTGTGTCTGGCACGCTTGTCGTACCATGTCTTGGTCTTGGATTGCGACTGCTGTAAGTGGTCTGCGGCAAGGCTCCAACATCTTAGAAGCTTCTCTCTAACATCTCCTACTAAACTTAATACACTAATGCTCTCTTCACTACTACCTAACAATGAACTATTCCCAACTCTGTTAGGGCTTCCTTGAAAACTTTTCCTACAAAATATGAAGCACCGTCCGTTTGAACACGGTACGGCAACCCAAAGTGACTAAACAGGTCAAGCAAACATTTAACAAGGGCCTTAGCAGTAACTTTCCTAAGAGGTACAGCATGCAAGTACCTAGTGGAGGTATCAATGACTGTAAATAAATATTCAAACCCACTAGAACAGGGGTTCTCAACCAGGGGGAATTTCTCCTCAGGTTTTCAGGGGGAAACTGATACTAATATGGAAAAAATATAGGATTTTCAGTATTATATGCATATTATTTGGAATGCACTTTTTGAGGCAGACAATCTTGGAAAGGAGGAGGGAATGACATTCTGACATATGGTGAAAGGGGTGCATGGGGCAAACAAGGTTGAGAACCACTGCACTAGAAGTTTTAGGCAGAGGGCCTACAATGTCACACTGTACTGCTGTAAAGGGCTCAGGTACGAGGTACTCTTACAAGTGGAAAAGGTGGAATAGCCTGATTGGCTTTGTCTACCTTTTGAGAAAAATGACAGTACTTACAATATTTAGTGACATCTCTCCTCATACCTGGCCAATAGAACTTTCTGGCCAGCCTGTTGAACGTCTTTCGGACACCTTGATGTCCAGAAAAGCGACTTTCATGGGCCAGAGCTAGAACATGTTGTCTGTAAGTGTGTGGGAGAACTATTTGAGTGATAGACGCCCAGTCCGCGTCTTCCTCTGACATAGTCGGTGGGAGCCAGCGGCGGCACAAAACACCGTCTTGACTTAAATATCTCGTGGTAGGGCCTGAATCATTGGCAGGATCGGACACCAGGTCAAACAAGAGCCGTAATGAAACTTCTTGCTCTTGCGCAGCTATTAAAGCAACTCTCCCGGTCACAGCATTAACTGCGGAAGAAATGTCTTGGGAAGCAATTGGGTTAGCAAAACGTCCTTCTAAGGACAGTGAATTATCTACATCAGGAGTTACATTATGATCATTAGTCATTAACAAAAAACGAGTCACAGCACACAAGGGAAAACACCGGGCATATCATCTTCAAGCTGTTGCAGCAAATCGTTACCGAGTATGAGGTCCACTCTTTAGCAACAAGGAGACTTGACACGTACTAACACAGGCAGCTCGTGCTCACCGGCTACGTTTAGCTATACCTGAAAAACCAAAGGAGCTGCACCTTTATCCCAAAGGGCGCCCAAAACGACGTTTTGTCAGTCTTCCTCACCGCAACAACACCCTCTTTGATGAGAGTTTGGTGACAACCCGAGTCTCTTAAAATAGTGACTGGCGTTTCGACACCAACTTCTACCGTGCCTTGTGACAAAAAGGGACGAAAGGTACCAACGTCTGGGTCCTTCCCAAAACTCTCCTGGAAAAGATCAAAGTCTCGTGAGGCGAGAACCGAAACCTTTCGTGCTTCACCTTATTTGGCTGCGGCCTTGTCCAACAAAAATACGCTTTATGACCCGGCTTTCCACAGAAACTACAATTAAATTAGAAAATTAGGACGCCCCATTAGGTGGCGAACGAGTCCATCTCCTCTTGTCATGTACAAAATTATTACGCACAAAATTACCATTGTTAGTCCTACCATGCCTCAAAACAAATCCATCAGCATGCTTAGAAAAAAAAATATCACAAGTGTCAAAAGGTCGTTAGTGAATCCTGGCAAGGTCGCCAAAACTGTTACGCCGTCTCTTAATTTTCTTTAATACCAGGTTCTAGGCGTAACCAACAAAAATTGAAGTAAATTAAAAGGGAATAAAAATAAATAAAGTAAACCTTTAAGAATTTAGTTAAATTAAATATTAACACAATAAAGAGCCTGGTAGGCTGTCACAACAAATTGATTCACTATCGAAACCTTTAAGATACAAGTGATACTAAACATCGAAACATCAAAAGAATAAAAATAAAGCATTGGATTACGTTAACACTGCATAAACATATAAAGACTAACACTGAAATTAACTAACGTGAAACAACACTGAATTACTTAAATGTAACTAAGCAAGCACTGATGGACACATAAGAGACATAAATAGGTACTCACTTAAATATACCACATTGGTGGTGACAGGAACAATCACAGAAATAAAATGAAGTATAACTAACAGGTGACAGGTGTCACTCAAAATAATGTGAGCTGAATGACAAGGAGGACTGGACTAAACTCCGTCTGCTGGTGGGTCCTATATATAAGGTCGGCTCCCGCCACTCCAGTGAAACATGGGTCGTTTAACGATGCAGATGGTCGTTAGAGAAACAAAGAATGCTTGTTGCAAAACTAAATAAAGAAATAAGATGGGCTTGAACAAATAATGACAGTTAAAACCTTAACAGCACAGGGTAAGGTGTCTAGAATATATAATAGTAAATTTAACACATCATTACAGAAATAATATGGAACAACATTGAAGCATGTTATTTACAAAATGATAGAAAAATACGACACGGTCGTAACAATAGACAGACAGGCACACATACACACAGAAAATGTGATAAAAGAAAACATATGAGATACTGATAAATAGGAAATAAAAAATAAGTGGATGGATCACTACAATAGAGAGAGATGGAAATATGAAACGGACCGACAGCCAAATACCAATATAGACTGGTTTAAATAATTTAATTTTACAATATTCCGAAAGGTTAGGTTAGGTTAGGTTAAGTTAGGTTAGTCGTATAGCTGAACAATGTGTACAGTTGGGGACATTTTAGGCAAATAACTAACTTGTAGTTCATATATATATAAGAACATTACATCCACAATAAAATGAAGAATAATCTAAGGTAAAAGGTGTTAATCCCTTTATCTCCCCTTACCTGCTTGACCCTCAGGTAGGTGGTGCCAGATAGTGCCAAAAGTGTTCAGGGAATATCGACAGTGACTATAATATATGAGAATGATTTATATTTCATTCAGCTTACTTGTCACCTCATCCTCAACTCCATTCACCCCTTACTTCTACCCTCATTCCACACTGTTCTCATATCGCCCTTCAGTGGCCTTCACTCATTACCTCACCCCTCACCTCTCTTCTCACCGCTTACCTCACCCCTCACCTCTCATCTCACCCTTCACTCATTACCATCAGCCCTCACCTCTCATCTCACCCCTTACCTCACCCGTCACCTCTCATCTTACTCCTTACCTCCACTCCTCACCTCTCATCTCACCCCTTACCTCACCCCTCACCTCTCTTCTCACACTTAGCCCACCCCTCACCGTTCATCCATACTGTCAACACGTGGTGATTAGTGTTCCTGAGTCTCACACCCAAACCTGTACTCGTTACTTGTGTTTGTAAACAAAATAATCAAACTGTTTCTGGTCGTCTTCAACACAACACTCCTCTGCCTAATCTCCTGTCAACCTTGTAGGCGGATGCATTTATGAAAATAAAACCTACCTTACCCTAAAAAATTTCCTACAAAAGGTTTCTCAACTGTTTATTGTAGTATCAGGTGTGCTTAATAACATAACAAAATTCTACCACAGTCTGACAGCGAGAAAGGTCTAATTTTCAAGATGGCGTCGAATAGCCACCAAATCCTAAAAAATTCCTGTTACTCCTTCATTGTTCATCCTAGCGAAGTAATTTTGATGTCTAACCCCATGTTTTGGTGGCCTAGGAATCTGTTTGGCTTGTTATAAAAGCGACATGATTACATACTTGTGAAATCCAAGATACAATTGGAAATGAGATTATTGAAAAAATGGTTGGAAAACCTGTTTTGGGGATCTCATTCAAACGGAAAGACCGGGCAAGAACCCTCGCACATGAGTCCACCATCAAATTTGCCCAAGGCCGAACCATTGATCCTGCTCTGCTGTTCCAAAGATTTCTGGTTCTGTCAAAAACCCGAGACCTTTCACTGGAAGATGTAATGAGCTATGAGCTCAGCCCATTCCCTACAGCCCTGTTTGAAGCCAAGGAAATCTTTCGTAAAGCTGACAAGCCCCAACTAGCACATGCAGTTGCTTAGTATTCAAGCAAGAAATCAAAAGAAGCTGTCATGGATTCTATCCCACTAACTGAACATTATGTCCTTGACGGTGGTTCCCTGGTTCATCGCTTGCCTTGGAAAAAGGGTGACAGTTATGGTGCCATTGCACGGATGTATTCTGACTTTACCATATGCCATTATGGAAAAGCAACCGTAGTTTTTGATGGCTATAGTAAAGATCCTTCCATCAAAGACAATGGGCATCAGAAACGTGGGCAAAACATCCGCCGATCATCAGCTTCAATGCAAAAACTGAGTTTGTTGGAAGAAAGGATGATTTCCTTTCCAGGTCTTGCAACTAACAAGGACTTATTGATCTTGTAACTGAGGAACTACAGAAGAAGGGCTGCACTGTTATCAATGCATTAGGGGATGCAGACATGGACATTGTCAAGGCTGCAATCAAGGCGTCACAACATCAGCTCACGACCTTGATAGGGGAGGATACAGACCTGCTCATTCTTCTCCTCTACTATGCTGAAGCAAACAATAGGGGCCTCTATTTTCGTTCGGACAAGTCCACAGTTCCTAAGGTTTACAACATCAGTGAGATGAAACAAGTCCTGGGTAGTGACATGTGTTCTCAGTTGCTGTTTATCCACGCTTTCACAGGATGTGACACAACTTCCCGCATTTTCAGTGTTGGCAAAAAGTCAGCGTTCCAGAAACTTGTGAATGGTGAATGGACCATTCAGACCTGTGCGAATGCGTTTCTGCTCCCAAATCAAGCAAACAGTGTCATAGAGGACCTTGGGAGCAAGGCGATGGCAGTTCTGTTTGGTGGCAAGAGTACCGATTCACTTGCCTCTTTGCGCTACAACCTTTTGATCAAGAAAATTGTCTCCGCAAAGTCATTTGTTACCCCAGAACGTCTCCCTCCTACCAAGCCCTCGACTAAATATCATAGCTTTAGAGTGTTTTACCAGATCATGGTGTGGACTGGAAAGGAGAGTGACATGAATGCAGTGGATTGGGGATGGAAACTGGAGGACAATCAGTTTGTGCCAGTTATGACCAAGAAAACTGCTGTGCCAGAAAGCCTCCTGCAGATGGTCCACTGTAATTGCACAACTGCCTGCCGAACACGTTGTAGTTGCAGTAGATACGGACTACCATGCACACCCGCTTGTGGACCATGTCAAATTGAAAACTGTGAGAATCCACATAATTAACCTTTACAGGAGGAAGAGTGTGACTATGACAATTTGTAAACCTGGTTCAGATCAAAGGCATTTTTCAGAAATATATATTATGGGATTTGTTATAACTTTTTACCAGTAATCACTATGCTATGTTAAATATGCTAATTGGTTTTCTAGATGCCCAAAACAAGGGGTCAGGCACCAGAATTACCTGTCTAGGATGAATAATGATGGAGTCATTGGCATTTTCATAGTTTGGTGGCCATATTTGTCCGCCATCCTGGATTTTGTAATTCTGTAATCACTTCACTATTATTTTAAATATGCTAACTGGATTCCTAGATCCCCAAAACATGGGGTTAGACAACGAAATTACTTGTCTAAGATGAATTAGAAAGAGTAATGGGTATTTTCATAGTTTGGCGGCCATATTGGTCCCCCATCTTAAATTATGTAATTATGTAATGACTTCACTATAATTTAGATATGCTAACTGGATTCCTAGTTCTCCAAAACATGGGGTTAGGCACCAAAATTACTTGTCTAGGATGAATAATGAAGGAGTAACGGGCATTTTAAGGACCTGGTGGCTAACTTCGACGCCATTTTGAAAATTAGACCTTTCGTGTCGTCAGACTGTGGTAGACTTTTGATATGTTATTAAGGACACCTGATACTACAATAAACAGTTAAGAATCCTTTTGTAGGAATTTTTTTGGAGTCAAACCATATTTTCAGCCGACTATTGGGGGTGACAGCGCCTCACAGATCACTGAAGACACAACGATGTTTATAAGAAAAAATATTATTGAACTTTAAATGAAGAACTGAGACAAAGAAACGAGAATATTTACCAAAAAAAATTAAATATTTATTTTTGAATGAAAAAGGAACAGCGAAATGCACGAAGAAATATATAGCAAAAATATATTTCCTTGTAATATAAAAGAGCTGAGTGACATAACCGGTAATATTTTATATATTTTTTTAAAATAGAAAAAAAAACACATGTATGAATGTCAACACAATAATTAACACACACACACACACACACACCCGGCCCCCAAAAACACACATGCAAACTATCACCAAAACACAAACACAAACACCACACCCACAAACAAATGTCCCTAAAAAAACATTCGTCCAGTCACCCAGCCATAAGACCAACACACACACACACACACACACACACACACACACACACACACACACACAATCTCTCCTGGCAACTAACCGAAAGACACGATAATTTTACAAAACACAAATATTATATTTCCTTTATGGATAAAGAAATATTCCAGCCCTAACCTATGACATTAAGAATTTACATTTTACAGTGACGTCGTGACTTTGATGCTACTCTTACATGTTATAAAACTCTTACATGTTGATCAAGAGACACAATACCTCTTTTATCATATGTGGACGTCAATCTATGCTGAGCTGGTAACTTTTATGATATTTTGTCAAGAGTGTCTCAGGGATTTTCTTTTAGTTTTTGTTTTGTTTTTAAGTTTGTTGTCAGATGAGTTTATATTATGTAGCGTCTTGGTAAGTTTTGGTAAGAGCTTTCATATTTTGTTTAAGTGACAGGCAGCCAGGTAGACAGACGGCCGTACAGGAAGACCAGACAGGTTGGTGAAATGATAGAAAGACATACAGATAGATAAACAGATAGACTTAAAGATAGTCACGTAGAAAGGCAATCAGGCAGTTAAAATGATAAAAAGACACATAGAAAGACAGATAGACAGACAATCAGACAGACAGACAGAAACTCCAGGTAGATAGACAGGAATACAGAGGCACACAACCCAACAGTAAAGCAGGCAAACTGGAAGAGAAACAAACAATAAGACAACCATACAGACAGAAAGACAGATATATAGACAGATAGACAACCAGAAAGACAAACACACGGATAGAAAAAATACAAATAGAAACAAACTATCGAACACAAACAAATTCGCAGACAAACTTACATACAGACTGATAGGCGAAAGAATATATTTTTATATGTAGTTGGCAAACATCGAGATTCTATATATTCACTGTATATATATATATATTTTTTATTTTTGTTCACAAGGCCGTGATATTTACGAGGTGTTATAAGTGGGTGTAACAGTGACCTTCATAAAATAAATTACCGAATTTTTCAGAGGGAGACCTCCAACTTCCATCACTCCTCTCCTCCTCCTCCTCCTCCTCCTCCTTTCCCTAATCCTCTTCTCTAGCCTCCCCTTCCTCTTCCTCCTCCTCTTCTTTAGCCTCCATCGACTCTCCCCTACTCCTCCTCCTCCTCCTCCTCCTCCTCTCCCTCTTCAAATCTAGCTTCAATCACCTCTCCCCTCCTCCTCACTCTTTCTCTTCATCTTTCCATTTAAACTCTAACCTCAATCATCTCTTCCCTCCTCCTCCTCCTCCTCCTCCTCCTCTTCAAAAGCCTCCATCCTCTCCCCTCCTCCTCCTCCTCCTCCTCCTCCTCCTCCTCCTCTCCCTCCCTCCTCCTCCTCCTCCTCCTCCTCCTCTTCAAAACTAGCCTCCATCACCTCCTTCCTCTTCCTCCTCTTCTGGAAAAACATTTAGCGTAAAAATTGCAGGTTGATATTACGGACAGGTGTAGCGTGTGTTAGTGATTTTCCTGTATTATGAAGGGACCCCCCACTTCCTCTCTTCCTGTCCTCCCTCTTCTCCCAATTCGCTCTCTCCCACTCATATCACCCGCCCTCTCTCACTCCCTAAACACTTGCACCCTCCTTCCCACTCTCCCTCCTTCCCTCTCGCTCTCTCTCACTCCCTCACACTCATACCCGTTTCCCCTCCCTCCCTTCCTTATCCCCCTCTCCAACTATAATTCATGCCCTCCATTCCCTCTATTCTTTCCTATCTCCTTCTTTTCCTTCCTTCCCCCCTCCCCCTTTTCCTCCCTCCTTCGCCCCCTCTCTCCTCATAACCTCTCTCCCTCATCTTATTCAATTAAAAACAATACAATCTAAGTTATTTTTAATTATTTCAGTTACTATATATGTGACCCATGCCTCATGTAGTCAACACCCCTATAATGGTGTGTTGCATCATGATCATTAATGGAAAACCCAACAGTAAAACCCTACCTTGACAATGCTACTGACAGAGTAATCAAGGCGAGGTATTAAGGTGCATGTATGTCCTCATCTTAGAGTACAAATTATGACAGTTTATCATTTCACCCGATGAGTACGATGTCTTCTTGAGTACACTGTCTTAAACCCTGGAATACAAAAACCACCGTACCTGAAGGAATAGATCAATACTTTGAAGGGATCAAATTATCGTATTAAAGTGGTGAAGTCACAATACGGCGATTAAGTCACCGTACTCAGGCGATTCCGTCACCGTACTCAGGCGATTAAGGGAATAAGTTTTTGCACTCAAGGAATCAAGTAATCATACTCAAGGTATTAAGTCATTGTACTCAAGGGATTAAGTCATCGTACACAAGGGGTTAAGTCATCGTTCTCAAGGGATTAAATCATCGTTCTCAAGGGATTAAATCATCGTGATCAAGGGATTAAGATATCGTACTCAATGCATTAAGTCATCGTTCTCAAAGAATTAATTCATCGTACTCAAGGGATTAATTCATCGTACTCTAGGGATTAAGTCATCGTACTCAAGGGGTTAGTGGTAAGTCTTGAAAGTAAAGACACTTAGTAAAGTTAGCTGCTGGTACGTGTAACACTGATAAGATGAAGATACGGCGTAATTCTTTCCATGTTGTTAGTGTTTTGTTAAATGTGACTCATAACAAGGCTAGTGTATTATATTTTTGTTCGTAGTTATTTAATGAGAAGCTAAGTTAACAATCAAGACTTACAGACAGACGGACACAAACAGAAGATTCGTGCATATATATAGTCAGAAAGAAGAGGCACACATACAAGCAAAAGGGATTGACATAGACAGACAGGAGAAACAAGCAGACCGATAAACAGGGCAGACCAACATAAACGACAGACAAAAGAGACAGTCACACAGACAGGCAGATGAAACAGACACAGACATATAACCAAACACAGAAAAAAATCAGACGAAAAAAAAACGGTAGACGACACTACATATTTATTTGATCATATTTCACGTGAAGTATAATTTGTTGTAAACCCTGGAAACATATGAGGTGTCATAACCTACACACACACACACACACACACACACACACACACCCACACCCACACACTATTATGATTTCCCCATAGACAGAGAGAAACACATGGGAAGGCTCGGCTTACTCTCCCCCTTTTCCCTCCGCTGCAAATTATCTCGTGAAAAAAAAATCAGCGTTCATGGTGAGGACAGGTATAGAGTGTGTGTTGGCAACCCTCTTTTGTTACGTAGGGGACGCCTCTCTACCTACCTCCACTCCCTCCCTCACTCATACACTTATTCCCTCCCCCCTCCCTCTCTCAATCTCTTTCCTTCATTTACTTGCCCCACCGCTCTCTCTCTCTCTCTCTCTCACTTATTTTTTCCCTCCATCTCTTTCTCAATCTCTCCCCTTATTCCTTTGTTCACTCTCTCTCTCACTCCCTCTCTAATTAACTTATTCCTCCCCCTCTCTCCCCCACCTTCTCACTCTCTCCTTTCACTCATTCACTCTTTCCCTCCCTCGCTCACGCCCTGTTTTCCTCCCCCTCTCTCTCACTTCCTCTCTCCCTCACTCTAATTCTCTCTTCTATCTTTTCATCTCCTCACCCATTTCTTTTCCCTACCTACTTGCCTCCCCCCTCTCTCTCTCTCTTTCTCTCTCTCTCTCTCTCTCTCTCTCTCTGTCTATTCCTCTCCGGCTGATCTCTCCCTCTAACTCTCTATCCTCCCCTCCACCTCTCTCATTTACTTACATTTCTACATATGTGATAGGTAGCAGGTAGT